ATTGCGCATTGTTGGGGGACAATATCAACTTGTCAATATACTGTGGTGTGTTGATGCTAGAGAAGACATACAGAAATAATTCTAGGGGCTGTAGCGTTCATCACGTTGCGCTTAAATGCAACACCACGCACAAAAAGACAAGTGGTTCCTGCGCTTTGCTAAAATGACACCTGATTGGCACCTACCTGACGCCTTGCATTCTACACCTTTGCACCTTCAAAACGGTCACGCACGCTGCACGCTTGCTATATCAAAGGCCAATCTTTTGTTTTCCTAGATAACTGCCAGATAGCGCTCATGTCTCAGGCAGCGTAGGGTGCAACGATACGCTCGTTCGCCTCACTGCTCACATTTTTTTCCGATATTGTCCGATTGAGAGCCAACACTATAATGTCACAAGGTCGTGACGTGGACGTATAGAGCAGACTGCGGATCGAATACTGAACTCTTTATTTGAGCCGATCTTGCGGCCACGTAGAAGGGAGTCATAATACAGCAAGACACTGGCACTGGAAGCGGCGGCCGTCAATCAATTGACATGTGGCGAAGCCTGTCGGCATTCGTACACATGCTATTGAACATTCTAGCGTTATCGCTGGCGGCGACGTAGGTTCCATCATAATCTGATATGTTCACGAAGGGGACGTTATCCTAACAAAATGATCTACTGCAGTCCTAAACATTCTCGAAAACGGTTGGCGTGAATTGCACTGAGAACTGCTTAGGGTGATAGGGTGCACTAATTAAACTTGAGCAGGAAATGTGGCAATGTAGTTCACGTCGCTCTTGAAGCATGATAAGCTCTAAACTGCACGTCCTCCCATATTTCGCGTTCCCTACCCGAATTTCTCATGATCAGCCTAGTTATGATTTCTGTTCTTGTGGTTAGACGAGATTTGGCCCTGGCTTTACATCCTTTGGCATCTATCACTATATCCTGGATCTTAGTTGAATCAGCTCGTGAAATGTCACATCCGTCTTTAGTGTGAATACTGAATAATAAAGGGTGTAAAAGCTTTATCTCCCGTCGTGCTCGTCTATACAGGAGGACCTCTGATTTTACCGAACAAAGCAGAAGTTTTGTGTCATCTAGCAACGACTCAGTTGCATCGAAAACTTCTTCGAGAGTTTATTCCATTGTAGAGGCTGAACCTCCTGAACACCACATTGTGATATCATCCATGTATAATGCGTGGTCCATGTGCGGCCATGCATTATACGCGGCCATGCTGCAATCTTCCTCCATAGTTTACTCACGACAAAAATAAATAAAAAGGGGAGATGACCGTATCTTGCGGAGTATCTCTGTTTCCAAGCGTATATTCTACTGGTGTCAAATGCTCCATGCGTATGTATCATCGCCGTCCTGCTTTCCAGGAATGAAGGTACAAAAGAAAAGAAAAAAGTTTCCGTGGTTACTAGCTCATATTTCTGTAATTGTGCATTCGTGGGTGATCCAATCGAAGCCTTTGGTTATATCTAGAGTGAGGATTCCTTTGACATCTTTGCTCGGTGACTTTGGAATTCACATTTCGAGCAGAAGCATGAAGTACTGGGTCAAAAGAGCCGGTCGGAATGCTACCACTTTGTATGTGAAGAGCGCCTTGTGCTTGATGTATCAAGATACTCTATTATGCACTGCATGTTTTATTATTTTATCGATGCATGAGATTAAGCATATGGACCGAAGGTGCTCCAGGCTGTGAGACCTAACTGTGAGACCTAAATACTAACGCAATTCGCTTAAAAAGTATGCCAGCGTGTTAGTTAGCCAGCACGATAGGCCAAATGCTTGCTGGGCGAAGCACTGGGTAAGACCGCTCTCGAAGCAGCTGAGTTGCGATGCTTGAAAATTCTGTATTTGAGCTTTAGAGCACTTCTAACTCTTACCTGAAGTAGAAGGGTAAGATTTACCAGACATGTATTTTCGGTGGGGCGATATCAAACGACAGCTGTTTTTCGCACCTCTGCTGGGAAAGTTTGTGAAAAGTCGAGAGAGCTCATTCAGATCTCGTCAACTTTGTGGCGTAAACTATTTGCTGTCTGCGTTAGGAGTGACGTCTTGTTCTTGGATTATAAACACTGCAACAGAGAACTGTTACAGCTATACATCACTGATGCGAATTCGGTGTATGCAATACGTTGTGGACTTGCGAAAAACGTGCATAATTGCTGCAACGCACGCGGCCCGCAAGAGTTAACGCTATTATTGACACTGCATGAATTATAACAAAGCTGTTAAATAGCAACATTTTTAGCGTTGGCTGACCTAAGTTCCTAATGCATTTTTCTCCTTGTTCCAGATGAAAGCGTTAAATTAAAGGGAAACAGTGTCATATGACAGATCACGATCATGATGTTTGAAATTTTGCGGCGTGATCTGGATTTGTCAGGGTAAGCATCTATCCTTACCGTCAAATCAAGCGTCTTATATTCAACAATACTGGAACATACCACTACACACCCTATAAAAACGTGCACGAGGTGCTGGTAGAACCAGTGCGTGCTTCAGTATGCCCCAGCGCACTCCAGTGAAAACACCAGTGCTTTTAGCCTTTCCCAGTGTGCTCCAGCGTCACAGTGGTCAAGCCACCCCTTGCAGTGCAACCCAGCTATTTTCTAGTGCACCCAACAAGGTGCCAGTAAATTCCAGCGTGTACCAGTGGTTCCAGCATGAACTAGTGCCAAAAACAGTGGTATTACGCTGAGGACGCTGTGTTTGCAGTAGGACTCCGCCCTGTCTTAGTTTTTTTGAGAGCTAGGGCCAGCGTAGTAGGCTTCAACTTCCTAAGCATTTTTTGTACACTGGGGTAGATATAACACCCTTTAGCCAATGATATTTCAGTTGGGAGCCATCACTTGTCTCGTATTTTTTCTGTCCGCTGTGTTATTTTCGCACTGTAAAGTTTAGGCTAGCACAACCAACTAGGCCACTGAGCCACTTTGTAGTCCTCAGAAGGGGTGAATGCTAAAGACTCATTGTGGGACGGATAGTGGTGATACTTTTGGTGGAAGGCATCATGGTGCGCGGAATACCGGTTAGGAGGCTACTGGCGGCGATAGTAACGAGCATTATGACCCGCACGACCACATCTGAAGCAGATCGGCTTATCTGCTGTTCGCCATTCAGATGGGTTGCTTGACCGAGGGAGGTATTGACATTGACTTGTTGGCCCTACAGAGGCTACGGAGGCATCATTGTTATTCATGGCGCAAACGTGGAGAAACAGACCCATAATAGCGAATACCTGGCAGAAGATGGTCTCGATCAAGGAGAAAGCGGGCACTGGTGCCTCGGTCAACGTTGGTTCGTTTACAGCCGGGCACATGGCCTCGAGATCGCGTCGGATGGTACGTGTCACATCTTCAGGAGTGGAAGGCTGACAGGAAGATTCTTCGCAAGACGACATGAAAATGGTGGCAAAATAATGAGCTGTTGCGGAATGCCCCGACTCTTCTCTTGCTCGAGGCAGAGACGTTCCCTATGGTGGTTCCCTGAGACGGGCGCGCACGTCCGTCTCAGAGACACGCACTTTGTTTTCTAAGAAAACTGCCAGATGGCGCGCATGTCTCACATGTGACGTGACTTGATGGGCTCGTTCGCATCCGCTGCACGCTCGAGCCACTATAACGTAGTGCCTCCAGAATACCACTCACCGATTTCCTCGCGCAGAACATCAAATAGGTGTCTTGTTCACTCTCTCCACAAGCAAGACTATCGTATTTCGACGACATTTGCAGACTACATGCAGATACGAGCATTTTCTTCTTTTATCTTTGTTGGTTGCGCACCTAAGAACTTCAAAATAAATTTCGCATCCATCCATCCATCCATCTATCCATCCATCCATCCATCCATCCATCAATCCATCCATCCATCCATCCATCCATCCATCCATCCATCTATCCATCCATCCATCCATCCATCCATCCATCCATCCATCCATCCATCCATCCATCCGTCCATCCATCCATCCATCAGAATTGGCGGATTGTTTAGTTTTCATATATAGGTTTAAGCTCTGAAGATCGTACCTCCTTCAGTATGATGTACGCAAATGGACATCGGCTAATCAACCACAAGAATAAAAAAATTGAAAATATAATATTTAGGCACAATCGATGTGATTAAAAAATCTTTCAGTGGGCATCCAAATGCCGAAGACAATTGTCATTACACATCTAAAATGATCAATGCGCACAACATAAATGAATCTACGCATATAGTTGAAGGGCAGCATCAAATAAAATTAAATAATGAAAACGTAAAATCCAGTACGATTAATTGAAACAACCCCCACAAAACCACTCCGAGAAGCAAATTTGCCGTCAGTGAATATAGGTGAATGGCTGGCGCAGTTGGCATCATCCAAAAGTTGAAATACAAAAAGAACAATGCTGTAATGTTAACCTAATCAATTTCTATAGCTTTACCAAAGCACAATTCTGGCTTTAAAATCCAATTTTTTTCTTGCTTTTTTGTCACACTTGACTCTGCAAGCAATCCTAGACAGTTCCAGCTCTGTTTGTTGTCAAACGCTGCCGCCAAATGTGTTCTTATGTTCCTAATAATATTGACCTGGTCAAGTTTCATTGAAACGGTGTAGCTTTTATTGAAACCTTTCCTAGACATTACTAGCGATATTTGAACAAAACTTTTCAACTACTAGGACGTATTAGATGGTTAACACAGCGCAAGAGTTCAGGGAATCCCCACAATGAATTCAGCCAGTCTGAAACTAAAATAAACTGGCTCGTGGTAATACGTTCATGTGCTCAGCGCTGGCTAGTGCCCAGAATGACAGATGAGGTTCCAGCTTTTTGTGAATTCAATCTCGTGTACTCACTGCTGCTGCGATGGTGCGTGCGCATCGTCGATGTGTGCAAGACCCGGCACGCTTCATCGATGCCTTCTTTCTGCGCACGTAACGCAATCCGGTATTTACCCGCTAAAAGGAGGAAAGGAGGAGCGCGACCGTAGACTCCCGACTAAACCGACATCAGTTTACATTCGCCGCCCCATGGAGATGAAGAGCATCGCTGCATTGCTCCTGTGTGCCGCCTGCTGCTACGGTTACGTCGCAGTAGCCCCAGCGAAAATGGATGGAGGTCAGTGCTTGTTCACGTTTATTTGACGCAGTTAAACTCATCTGAAGTTTGTAGATTAACCGTTGACATTTAACGTTTCAAAACTACAATTTGGTGATGAGGAACACCGCAGGTGCTCCTAAATCGAAGTAGTCGAGCATTTCTGCCTCCATAGAAAATGCGGCCGCTGCGGCCCGGATTTGGAACCGCGACCTTCCGATTAGCAGTCGAGTACCACAGTCCCTAAACAACTTTGAAGGGTGTCTCCTGTAGCTTGCGAAGTGTACAAGCATAAAAATTGAGTATTGCTATCCGTACAAATGCCAAATGTTTCGATTGATCGACATACACTAAGCTTTTTGACGAGCTGCTTGACAAATTGTTTTCTTTGCACTGTTCTATTAAAATGCTTTGGGGTACAGACTGGTGTGATAATAGCATTTCAGTGGCAGAAATCTTTACTCGAAAACTTGATGCGTTTATTTAGCAGCCAAGTTGTTACCAGTATTATATATAAGCAGAAAACAATATACAGAAAATAAAAGAAATTGGTAGATTCCACGTACTGTCAGAATCGTGGATATGCGACGCATGAATGAGGAAGGTTGAATTCTCACAATGAAATCAGCGCGACGTTACGAGGCGGACGTAAATTATGCCGTACCTGACTTCCATGTCATAATTATCGTGTTTCCACCTGGAAATTGGGCTCAGTCGTCCATTCGCATCACGTATACTATGTCTGGTATATGGGAAACGAGGAAAACGACCCCGAGCGCTCTATGAGCGTAGCATGACATGCATCTCAAGATTACCATGTTTGGATGTGTCATTTATCTTCGTCGTCTATTCGCGTCACGTATTACCAAATTCGGTTTACGTGAGGATAGTGAAACGGCCGCGAGCGCATCATGAGCATGGCACGTAGTCATGTTCTTACATGACACGGATTTCATGATCATCATGTTTGCACCCGTCGCATACCTTCGCCACTCACTCACGTCAATTAACACTAAATTTAGTATACGTGAAGATAGTGAAATGGCCGCGAGCACACTTTGAGCGTAACACGTATTCATGTTTTACATGACGCACGTGTCATGATTATCATGTTTGGGCGTGTGATTTACCTCTGTCGTCTGTTCGCGTCATTTAGTACCAAATTTGGCATATGTGAAGCTAGCGAAACTGCCGCGAGTGCGTTATGAACGTGACATGTAGCCATGTTCTTACATGACACGCATGTCACGCCCCCGCCGCGGTGGTCTAGTGGCTAAGGTACTCGGCTGCTGACCCGCAGGTCGTGGGCTCGAATCCCGGCTGCGGCGGCTGCATTTCCTATGGAGGCGGAAATGTTGTAGGCCCATGTGCTCAGATTTGGGTGCACGTTAAAGAACCCCAAATGGTCGAAATTTTAGGAGCCCTTCACTACGGCGTCTCTCATTATCTTATGGTGGTTTTGGTACGTTAAACCCCACAAATCAATCAACATGCATGTCACGATTATCAGGTTTGCATCAGTCATATACCTTCATCATCCATTCACGTCAGGTAATATGAAATTAAGAAGTTTGGTTATGTTAAGCTAGCAAAACAGCCGCAAATATATCATGCGCGTGGCATGTAGTCATATTCTACATAACACGCATATCATGATTATCATGCTTCAAGCAGTCATGTACATTTAACATTCATTCACGTCACGTAATACCAAATTTAGTGTACGTGAAGCTAGCCAAACGACCGCGAGCGTATCTTGAGTGTAGATGTAGTCATGCTCTCACATGACACACGTGTCGTGATTTACACGTGCAAGCTTTTTATTTATGCTCGCCATCAGTCATATAGCATTTCAGTTTTGCAATATCTCATGTGAACGAAACCGCCGCAGGAGCAGAGAGACCCTGACGTGTAAATATGACATTTATAGATATACAGTAGGATCAATAAATAAATAGGATGCGGTCAAATTCACCAAAGTTAGCTGAAAAATGCTTCGCATTTAAAATGTGTAAGCATTGGCGTAGCTATAGGTTTGTTTAGATGGAAGCATGTCCTTAAAACAACGTGAGGCCGAGGCATGCAAGTGCGTCGTCGAGTGCAAGCTTGCCGTCTGTATTTATTGTTATTTATTCATACTTGTAACCCTCCCTTAGATGTTGTTACAGGAAGGGCACAATGAATTACTCCTACACAAACATAACAATGGCAAACTAACAAGCAAAATTGTAGTTGACAAATTATCTGTCTAAAATACAAGAAAATCGTATACATCATTTGTTTGCACAGCTTCCTCTGGCCAACTATTCCTCATGTCAAAGCCATCTGGAAAAAAAGAAAATCGGAAAAAATATGTATGGGCTCTTATTGATCAAATAAATCTGTATGCACTCTTATTTTGAGCACTCAAGTGCATTAGCTTTGCACACATGTTCAATGGACTCATAAAATGAGAAATTATAAAGGTGATGAGCGTTTGCAGCAGATCTTTCTGAAACACGTGAATGCTGTCGTGATTAGTAATATTGTGTTCATTAGATGTGGCACTGTTTTATTTCATATAGCAGAGAAACGTCCCAGATTTTTTTGTGCCCATCTGCTTCTGTTTGAAATAAGTTGTCATGGCTGAAGTGTCTACCACTACGAAGTGAAATTCGGTGTACTACTGTCGTGAAAAAGAATGGGCTAATTGCACAGGTAGTTGAAACATCGATGGCATTGACTTATCCACTTCCACACTGCAATTCCAAACCTCTAAAGTAGCCGGGAGAAAACAACTTCAGCTTCCATGCACAAATATACTGAAAACGTGAACACAATAAAAAGTGTGTAATAAATTTTACCTTTATTGATCCAGTATTTGGACAGATTCACATCATATGCCCCCAACGGATTTCAAGAGTGCTTGCTTGCAAGAGAGTGCTCACGTTCTATCGCTGTGTCTATGCAAGGAGATTGTGTTGAAAGCCGAGCAGCAGTTTTTATACTATACGAGCGCCAACAAAGATATGAAAAATATAAAAATCGTACAATGAATGCCCAAACCTCGTTTTCTTAGAATTGAGCTTTTCGATCTTTAAGCACACATCTCATAACTCTGTTTCTTTAGCATACACGTTCCCTGCATACTCAGCAGACCAGTCATTACTTGCGACGAGAAAATCTAGCTATAGCGACAGTGTAATTTAATTCTAACAATAAATATAACAATCCTGATTTTCAGGCCCATCACCAAAATACACATGACCTGTGATATGGGCTCAAGGCTTAAAACTAAAACTAATACCTACCCTGTCGACACGACGCGACTTGCACTGTTGTGAAGTATTCAATGTAGCATTGCAGAGCGAGAACGATTCAGAGCTGTACGCATCCGCGATTGTTTATTCAACAAATTTAGAAAAACTATATTGCTCTCACTGCGTGAGCTATTCATTGGCAATGTGCAAGTTTCCTTCCCGATTCCACATCATACATTCACTTCACTTCAAGATGAACACTACTTGGCAAGCGCTGCATCGGATGGCAGAGTAGGACCATTGTGCTCAAACCACGCTATTAAACTCAAACGCCGTAACACAATAAGAGCTGGGTTCATTCAGCAAACTCGATGTTCGGTTATGTGCATATGCTTGTTAGCTCTCAACCGTCTTTACACATGGGTTGAAAGCGTTTCATATGTACGCGCGACTTGTTTTGTTTGAACCCGACCATACACATTGGTTGTACCTGCTTGGGCACTCCCAATAAACGATGCAAACGTTACTGGATTGACGTTGTTTCGGCCAGTCGAGGCCAGTTAGGTCTCCTGGCGATAATATTTGCATATGCGAACCGTGATTTAGCAACGAGAAGAAAAAAAAACCGCAGGAAGCGAGCAGCGTGAACCAGCAGCGAACCCCTCACCTGCAGCAAAAATGCGCCTGTTTAACGATGACGATAGCACTACCAGCGTCATCTCACCTCGCTGTGTTGCAGTTTACGCCGCCGCTACCTATTTGAATGTTATTTTGATACAACATTCCTAATGTACAGTTTCCGTTCTCTAAACTGGTAGGTGTACTGAGGCGTAGTCTCGAAGTGTTTGTGAGCTGTACTGAACTTCGAACGTTACTTGTTGCTGCCATTGAAACCATGCTAGTTCATTTGCGAATGCATCTCAAAAAGCTTTGCACCACGCATCCCACGTAGAGAACTGAGCGGCGAGAATGACAGACAGACATACAGAGAGACAGACAAACAGACAGACAGGCAGGCAGGCAGGCAGGCAGCGAACTTCAATAGAACCGGAGGAGTTACTGTAGGACCTTCTAGCGAGCTATCCATTGTAACCGCTAGCCACGCCCACGTAGAGGACAGAATGACAACTTATCGCAGTTCCTCTTAGTTTCTTTGGGGCAATGAGACACGTCGTTTCTTGTGATCACGAAGGGAGCTGTTGCGTGCGTTGTATGTCCTTGATCCTCAAGCGCGCACTCTGAGACAATTCTCGAACAGCGGCAGGCTATAGTCAGCACGTCAAGCATGGTCATCAGAGGTATCTGAGGAATGTTAGCGGGTAGATACTGTGGGGCCGACGATTGAGTACCATTATAAGGCTGAGAGTACAGGGGATTCATAGGAAAACCAGGGGTTGCCATGAATGAGAGGGTTTCTCTTGATGGAGAAAAACAATCTTGAGATGCGGCGTTATAGGCGAGGGGCGGCAAGGTGTGCGTGAACGGTGGCTGCAAGACGGGCGAGGAAGCTGGGTAGACCTGAAGCTACCTGCCATTTGGTGGTGTAGGAGGTGCGGCAATAAGCTGTACACCAGCGGAGGATGCAGGTGCCGGAGCAGGTCTGGTGGCTTTGCTGAATCTGGCTGCACAGGCCCTTTCAAGAAAATGTGCTAAGTGCTGAGTCAGCACCTCTCGAGACGTGGTTGTATCCTTCGCTCGGTGGGCGAGCTCAGGCTGGATAAACACGGTACTGAAGCAGGCTACGATGGCAGCATCCGCCGCAGCCCAATTCATTGCCGACAT